TTGGAGTCCACGAGCTGGAATTCTAGGAGAAACTTTTCTTCTTGATACCAGCTCTAAAAATCTTAAAAATTCTTACAGAGAATCACTCCTTTTGGCATGTATTTCTTGGTCTCTGCTCCCTGTGTTTACAAAATAGAGCTATCCTGCTTGCTTTCATCACATTAGAGGCAGTCAGCCTCTCTGCAGGATAAAGAAAGATTGTTTCTAATTACAGTTTTTTCATGCTAACACTGCTTTCAAATATTGCTAATGATCCAGCAATTATTTCAAACCATCCTTTTAGCTTCTTGTGGCCTTGTGTGCTTCCTTATTGATGTTGCGGTTAGTTTTTTTGCATTTGAAGATACAGGGGATGCAAGAGACGAGGATCCACTGATTTTCAAAGACTTGCATAGCTCTGGGAGCAAAGCTGAGCAGTTTCGTGACTGACATTTACAGTAAGTCCCAATATACACATCTTGAATTCTCCCAACTGCGAGTAGGTGGAAATTAAGGAGGTGTGACTACTGTGAGCTAATTTAGTCTGTTGACACCTTTCTGTGATCTACATGAAGTCTTCTAGTAGGATTCATGTTAAAAAGTGGGGCTGTGGAGGTAGACTCCAAGAGTCCATGTACAGAAGTTTAGGACCTAATGTATTCCTTAAGTAGGAATTGTATTATTTATGAGCTGCCCTTGGGAAGACTCTGGAGGAGAGTAGTAATTGCTCACTGTTTCTGTACAATAAAGGATGGCAAACTTCCCTTATACACTGTAGAATATTTTTGTAGAATATTTTTCAAAAAGCCAATAATTTAGATGGCGTCATGGTAATGAGGGTACAAAACCATAATAAGAATTTATGACTTAATTGTTTTGGATTATGATGGGGTTCTGTTGGGAATTTCAGACACTGCTGCATGAAACAAAGGTGGATAATTGTTCTGGAAAAGTGTAAGTCTTGCAAGATAGGATATTTAACAGCAAGACTACCTTCATCTGACAATGTACACAATTACTATGTAAAAGTGACTCTGCCAAAGAGAATAAGGCACCCACTGTGCTGTTTTTGTGAAGTGCAGAGGTGATTTTAAGTATAAAACTGGTTTTTACCATGGAGGAGAATTCTGAGAGCTATGGACAATGGCAGAGAGGGTTTAATTGTGTTTCAGCTTAATGATGCAGTGCAGGAAAGTCGGTGTTGAATCAGAGCTGCTCTGTAATAATTTATCAGGGTCAGGAGAAGGGTGTTCTCTACAGAGGGAGAGAACATCCCGTGTGTCTGAGATCCAGGGGTGATGTTGCTGGCCAATATATGCATGCCCTTCCAGGGCAATGTTGCATAAGAGACAGGAACAAGGGGTAAATAATTTGCGGTCCTTGGTTCTTGCTGGAAAAGATTTGAATAAGACCTTTCCACTGCACAAATGTCCATCTTCCAAGTACAACTGGTTTGCTTTAGCACACTGGCAAATATATGTATGGTAAATTCCAAAGAATCCCAGACAGCGTGAAGGAAGCACCTTGGTGCTTAATAAACTTCCAATTAAAAAATAATTGGAAATCTAGACAGACAAAAACACTTTTGCTCTGGCATTACACATATCCTACCACATGCCTTTGCTGATATTTGTCATCACTAAGAAAAAAAAGGAATGCAAGTGCTGTAAGTTCAAGTGCAGTAATAATAGGTAAGAAAACTAAACTGTGATAAATTTTACATAGAGGGAAAACAAAAGGCCAAAATTTAGTGTATTTTTAGAAGTGACAAAGAGAAACATTGAAGCTAGGACTCTAAAGTCTTTGGAGGAGGGGTCTAGAGAAGAGAAGCCATTCTAGCTATAGCAATACATTGTTCTGTGACCTTGAATGAGTCTCAGTGAGCACAAAAAATTGCAAAGACACTTGGATCTTTCAGATTTTCAAAGAGATTGGATGGTTACGCCTACCCTTAGAGATTCTCAATGATCTCTCACCAAGGGAAGAAGAGGATTTAGGACTCCTCTCTTTTGAGGATAATGCTAGAGTATAATGATTCACCTAGTAAATGACATAAGAAATTAAGAAGTTAATGACTTGCTGCCATTTACAGGAGAGAACATTCAGATATTGTTTTCTCTTTGGTAGAATTTCTTTCAAATTTTTTTTATTTTCTCAATTTTTTCTTTCTTCTTTTCCCCTGAGGGATAAAATACTGGGTTCTATTATTGAACTGAAGGCTATGATGTGAAGGCTTATGCTCAGGGTGAGCTGAGTGAAGGACCATGGTGTTCTGTGGCATTCCCCTTGCTTGTTGTATAGAGAGAAGGACCCTCAGAATGATTTTTTCCAGTAAATGAACCTATGTGCCACAATTTTGGTACTGCTCTACTGAATGTCTGTTAGTCAAGTGGTAGGTCTGGCGATTTGATCTTGAGACACCCAAACTGGTATCCTAGGGGAGAAAAGGTGGTCACATATTTTTGAAGTGAGGGACCACAACATAAATCCTCCTAGAAAAGGTCCTGTGGTCCCCCTCTCTACCTGCAAAGCCTTATAGAGTGGCACATTTACAAAGAGATGGGAGGCATGGGGTCAAAACTCCCTAGGAGCAGGAATTTGACTCTGCACATGGCTCTGCTGGGAAGAGGAAATGCAAGCAGAAAAGCATCTGGGGGCTATGTGCCATGGCACTCAGTAATACTTCTCTCTAATGGCATCTGTAAAGAAGTAGAATAGTAGTGTTATAGGTAAAAAGCACTATTAAACTCAGATTTTGCTGCTTGGCAGTGTCCTATTCTTCATCTCTGCTAGCAACAGAAATGCATGATAGAGTTACCTTAAACACTCTCTGGGAGCTTGTTTCATGACCACAAGAGAGATGTGTAGAAAATAAAACTTCTGTGGTCATTAAGAATATTCAAGAGAAGTCTAGTGAATAACTTACTAAAATCTATGTGATGTCCTAAATACATTTGAAGGAAGAAGACTGATAAAAGTGGTAGCTAAAACTCAGCCTGCCATGCAACATGTAAAACTTTATAAATGAATTATAGAGACTTTATAAGAATTTTTCCTGTGTCAGATAGGCTATGCTGGGTTCTCAATCTGTGCCCAAGGAATAATAATAACAACATTTAGGAACTCCAGGGAAATAAAAGACTGTGGTAACTCAGCCCTTAGAGGAATATTCTAAAGGAAGGGAAAGGAAGAAAAGAAAAACTACATTAGCTAGTAGCTTGATAATTTTGGACCTGAGGGGTAATTCTTCCAGGCAGCGTCATGTAGATGATAAATTTATTTTATTGTTTTGGAGACAATTTTTCCATTAAAGAGAGATACCATTCCAGACATTTTGTTCTCCATAAGTACAGCTTGTGCAAATGAGGAAAGCTCTGTTTTTAACTGAAAAAGCTGGGGAGCCTGTTTTGTAAATTGGAACAAACAGCAGAGGAATACCTAATACTCACTACACTTGTTATTCAGGATAGAGCTTTCTGTTACCAAAATATTCATGTCTGACCTTTTTTGGAAAGGTGGGGAAGGGGCTGAGCATCTGTTAAACATTGGCAGAAAGTCAGATCCAGAAAGTAAGGTCACACATGGGTATGTCAGTCAGGAATACAGTCCTGATTCTGTGGAAGGCTTCTAGTATGATTTGAGGCAGTTTAATTTGAGACACTGCTCGCTCACTTACCCTAATGGCAAATAGCAGTGTTAAAGCCCCTTGCATCACAAGGGCACTATAATGACTATCATTTTCTGAAATATTTGGATGTCAGTAGCAAATAAAAATAGTCATTTTGTGGTTTGAAAGGTATCGCACAAAGGCTGAGCTTACTTACCTGTGATAAATGAACTCTAGAAGGTAATCAGGAGATTTGAAACTAGATCTTTTTCTTATTAAAGTTACGTGTTTCTTGCCCTTCCGCCCATCCTTCTGATATACTGTTGTTATAGCAACCATGTTTCTATCAATAGATTCACAAGAGCTACTAAACTCTCCTTGCACTTTTACCTGTACCAGATCAAATGTAATCATAATTTTGAGCAGTACTTCACTTACTCAAAGAGGGCTGTGACAAAGTCATATCTGCTATTATGTACTGTTTTTTCTTAACACACCCTGTATTAAATAACAGTACTTATTAGTGCACTACAATAGCAGTCTTGTATTTCTTCTTTAATGTTCTGGAGTTGGACAAAAAGGGCTTCACAGCAACTTTCTTGCAACTTTTAACAACCATGAATGAATGGAACTGGTGTAAACAAATTCACATGTAATTTACTGCAAAGGATTATATTTCATTTTGCTGTCACACACCCTATTTATAAGCTTTTGCATGGCTCTGACGAGACTCTGGAAGAAGGAGTTGTCTTGGATATCACAGGACATGCAGCTCCTCACATTGCAATGCCAGAGTTTGCAGATCATCCCCCATCATAAACAAGAAGAGCAAAGTGGCACTCTGACAGGATCGTGAAAGAGTCATGAGGAGTCATAAAAAAACAGATGGCAAGAAAGTATTATCGGGTCTCCTAACCAGAAGACATGGAGGTGTGAGATATTACAAGCTTCCAAATGGCAGACTGTAGAAAAGACAGTTTCATGATCTGCTCTTGTGAATCCTAACCACTGCACAAAAAGGTATACAAAAAGGTACACAAAAAGGTATACAGTATTTTCACAGCTACAAGGCGCACCCTTTTGACTAAAATTTTCCTCTGGACCCAGAAGTGCACCTTATAGTCCAGTGCACCTTATATAATGGACAAAGTTGCAAAATTTGCCAACCTGGAAGTGCAAGCCCGCAACAGTCCTGAGCCGAGCAGAGCCCGCCCAGCGGTGGCATTGGGACAGTGCTGGGCCAGGGCAAGCCCGCTGGCATCGGGGCAGCGGTGGCGCAGGGTGAGCCCGCTGGCATGGGGGCTGCACCAGCACGGGGGAAAAGCCCGGGGGTACACGAGGCTCCTGAATTGCCAGGGTTTGCAGGACTCCCAGAGCACCAGGGGGCTGCCAGAGCACTGGGGCGGCGCGTGGAGGGAGGGAGTGGGCAGCCCCGAACTGCCGCGAGCCGCGGCAGCCCCCAACTGCCGCGAACCGCCGCCGCCCTGAGCTGCCCCAAACTGCCGCCGCCCCAAACCCTGCCTTGCCAGCTGGCACCAGGGGTGGGTGGGAGTGCCAGGGCCCGCACACAGGGAGGGCACTTGCGACTGAGTTTAAAGGCTACACCAATTTGTGAAAAATGTTTGCAAATTGAGCAACTGCCAGTAATTACTTTGTTGCATGTGGTTCAGCTCCTCGCTGCAAAAAAAAAGTGCGAGCCGTGAACCAAGCTGTGAGCTGAGCCGCGACGGGGGCAGCACCAGCCAACCCCCAGCTAGCAGCAGCCGTGCGGGCTGGGCAGTGCTGGCCAGCCCCCAGCCAGCAGCAGCCACACAGGGAGAGAGGGAGTGGGTAGCGCCGTGCAGCCCCAAGCCATGGACGGTCCCAAGCCGTGGATGGTCCCGAGCCACGGGCAGCCCCAAGCCGCCCCGAACCACTGCCAGTCTTATAGTCATGAAATTACTGTAATTATTTAGAGGGAGAAGGTACTTTAAATTATTTTGAGTGATCATTCACTAGTTAGGTGTGTTTATTCAAGTTGCATTATGAAGTATTTTCTGGATAGCTAGAGTAGAAACTTACACACATTTGTGTAATTCAAGAGCTTGATGTAGTCCGTTCTTTTCCTTAGTTGTGCTAGAAGTCTTAATTTTTATTGCCTTGAACATACCAGCTCCTTCCTGTAAAAATGGCTAGAAAGCATCTCATGATCAAATATGAAGAAAAAACATGGTCAAAACTTAACACATCATAAGAATACTCAGTATTGGGTTTTGTCTTTAACTTTCTTATGTTTCCTTAAAATGGATTTAATCTGAAATGTCAGATTGAAACATCGGAGGCCTGTGACTTGGGCACCCTAATTGTTGACTACCACAGGTCTTGGGTAGTTCCTCCTTTTATAATATGAAAAATGTAAACTGTAGGCTGATGTTCAATAAATATATTTCTTTTTAATATATTAGTCTTAGAATAAATATTAATGAAAGAATGATATTGGGACTTACTATTTTGTATCTAGAGACTATTTGTCATTTTTTGCCTGTTAATAAACTGTTCTTTTTTCACTTTGCTCATACTCATTTTCTCCTTATTGGTGGAGAGGGATTAGCCAAAACTACGTGGAGGTAACTCATAACCTGCTCTGATGGGTTCCTGTACTGGATGCTTTACCAGTAGCTCAGTGGATTTAGAAAATCTTTATAATGTACAATAACCACGTACTGAAAAAATTAATATGTTTTTAAAAAACAAATTAGATACAGTTCTGTCATTCGTGGAATTCATTATTCATTGGCATTCAGTAGCTGCCCCAGTTGGTTTGCATTGCAAATTAATTAATTTTTCATGGATGGCTGTAAAGGTATATGAGCTGTGTTATTCATATGTAAATATTCTTTTGATTAAATCCATCTTCACTTGCCAATGCCCTAAAATGCTTTGATGTTAAATATTCTTCAAGCTTGTAGGCCAGGATTTTAGCTGTGCTGCCTTTTTCAGTAGTTTATGTCTGCTCCCACAAAGTTGTTCATTTCTCCTCAACAAAAGAGGAGAAATGAACAACAATATAGCAATACTTCCTGTATCTAACTGGGAACACTGGTTTCCCATATATTAGGTTTTATTGTATGCTTGATTGAAAATGCTATTTTGATGGATTTCTTTGAATTACAGTAATTTCATGATTATAAGCTGCACCTGATTATAAGCCGCACTTCCGGGTGTTGGCAACTTTTCGTTCTTTGTCCATATATAAGATGCACCTGATTATAAGCCGCATGCCCGGGTGTCAACAACTGTCTTAGGTTACAATACAGAGTGTGATAAAAGGTATCTATTCTATCACCATCTGTTGAGGGTGGGG